AGTATTAATTACATTCAGAGCTGAATGTGTAAGGGTAAGCTGTTAGTCAGCAACCTTTGAGCAGACTGACTAAACACAACTGTTGGCAAAACCAGTGGACTAGCCAAACCAAAAACAGCAAGGGAAAGCAGACTGCAGGCATATCATCGAAGAAGGAATGGCAGTGCTGGGGATTTATTTTTATCTTTTCAAGCAGATAGTTATCTTTGCTTCCCGGGTATCAAGTAGATTAGAGAAGGGTAGTCTGCGGGAAGTATTTGCAGGTGGGTTGAAACTGCCTACTAATTTCAAATACTGTATAATTTAGTTTTTCAAAACCAATCTTCTCTCCAGCCCCCCAAAAGGAAAACAAGTAATTAACAAAGTATTTCTGAATGCTTTGCTAAGTTTGGAAGAAAAAAAAAAATCCAACTCTATTCTTTAGAGTTGATGGCTCTACTGCAAAAATTCTAACACCATTCAAGCCTTTAAAATTAGCAGTTCAACGCCGATTTCATCCACAAAAGGTCACTGTGTCTTTTTGGAAGGCATGCATTTAAAACCTGTTTGGCTGGCTTTTTGTTGCTCCTTCTTGATAAAGTGTGTGTGACTCAGTATTTTATAGGAAACATGACACGGTGGTACGTACAGAAAATATTTTTAAAATTTTCAGTCATCTTAAGGTTAATTTCTAAATTACACATGCAGCTTCTACTTTCTAAAGCCTCTGGGACTGCTGAGTCTGAAGCAAGCAATTAAATTAGAGAGAAGTTTGGAACAACATTCTCATAACAAATACTGAGTTAATACTGAAGTCTGGAATCCTATTTACTGTGACAAAGTTAACATTTTTCTCACTGCCCTGGGACAATCATTGCCTGCACAGGCATCCCTGTGCCACAGGCAAGTCCACTCTGCAAGGCTGCCTCAGGCCACCAGACGTGGCCATTATTTGCTGTGGAAAACCTTACCATTTCAGATTCTATCTGAATTATAAACATACCTTTTTGTGTATGAGGGTGTACACAGATTTTAATAGACCTTCTGGAATTTTACAAACCTATTTTCAGGATACAGTATTTTGTTTTTTCTGAAACCTTTGCTTCAAGGTGCTGATTCATACCAATCAGAAATACATAAGCCTTGTTCCTGAGAGTCCCTTGTTTCTACAGAAGGTCTGAGAGGAGGTTCTGGATTAAGTCCTACATTATTAATTCTTTCCTGAGTATTAGTCTATATGTGTTTGTCACGGGTTCCCTGAGGGCAAGGCCTGTGTCTTACCCATCCCTGTATCTCTGCACACTAAGCACTTAAGCAAAGTACTTGGCACCACTAAGGACTAAAAGAATGTGTGTGCATTGAGTAAGAGACGAATGGGACAATAAAGTTATTAGTACACCCACTGACTAGGCACCTGTTTATAGTTTACTGAATAATTATGTTAGTAGATAATTGCCTCAGTAACAACTGCCATTACTTGAAAATACTGAGTTAACTTGCTTCCAGCACCTCTCCTTTGAGAGCTGTGCAATGTAGGGAGAATTCTCCCTGGCAGTGTAAAGACCTAGGCAGTACAGCTGTCTCCTTCAGCTGAGTGTCTTTAGATAAGAAATTTTTAACAAACATAAAAATACACAGTAATTAGTTTTAAAACTTTACTGGAACACACAGTTTTGGAAAATTTTCATCTACCACGTTTTCAGTATCTAGTTAAAATATGAGATAGAACTACCTGATTTGGATAAAGCTTGCTCAACAATAAGGATGCAGCTTTTGGAAACTGGGTGCGTTATACCAATACACTCCTCTGAATGTTGCAACTTGAACACTTCAGTACTGTAGTGAATCTTACCAGCTTCTTTTTCTATCAATTAGAAAAGCTACCTTTTCTGTCTTTTCTACAAAAATGCATAATTCTATGCATTTACTAGGCAACAGTAAACCTTTAGTTATGAGAATTCTAGGTATGGATTAGAACCGTGAGGATAATTGGTTGAGCCATACTCTTAAAAATCAACAAGGTATTTCAGGCTGATTTATTCAGCTCCTGATATTCATGAGTTTTAAAAACAGTCAACTGCTCCTAACAGTTATTTTGTCTCTTCAGAATTCATAAAATGCCTTCAATGACCATTCAATTTCCTGAGTACTCTCTTCCACAGAGGGTAAAGGGTGAGATGAAGTGTGAAAGACACAATTTACATTTTTTATGCTGCCCAACTATGATGACAAAAATCCAGGTAATCAATGATTCTCAGAATTTTCCTCTTTTAAGAGCACATTGCTATACTTTGTTTAATGGTTCAGTCTGCATTTTCTTTTTTTTTAGAAGAAAACTTCACTCTGAGAGAACATGTTCAGGCACAAAAGTAAATATGCTTAAAAGCAACCTGCCAAGACCCAAATTCTGACTTTCTAACAGAAGGCGGAAAATCCTATAATTAGTAACAAGAAAGGGCATAACCATGCAATGCTTAGTATCAGGGAAAGAGGACATAATCTTGACACTAAATGTTCACTTTTAAAATGATGCATTGGCAACATTTCATTTCTATTTCAAATATGTCTACACAGGACACTGTCATGATAGTTAATTTACATTTTCAATCACATTTGATGTAAAGACTGTACATTTGTTAAATTTGCCCCATTCTTTCTAGGAAAACTTTCAAAGCGTCTGAAACCCTGTATTAGAAGACAACTAAAATTTTTCATTAAGAAAAACCCTCTTGTGGGCAATCTAAGTTAAAACCTTCTAATTTTGAGTCCTAAGCATTTCCCACATAGGAAAACTCTCTAAGGATACTTCAGAGAGTCTTTAAAGCAATCAGCACCAGCAGTGTTAAACAGAGGAGCACTGGACAGAAGACCCTCACATCTGTGGCTCTGTGTCCTCCCTGTGGGCTGTGCCAACCCACTCCCTCCCCTGCAATGACCCTTTGTTTCTACCGAGTCCCAGAGCGACGGGGAGGGCTCTGCAAAGAGAAGGGGGAGGGGAGGCTGGAATGCAGCTGCAGGCTCGGAAACAATGCTGAGTCCATATATTTTGTTCCCAGTTAGAATAATAAAAAGGGGACTGCGGTGGGGGGTGGGGGACGGAGAAGACAGAGCCCAGAATGCCAAGGTAGGACCCAGTGTCCTCCAGCTCGCCTTCTGCGGCACTCCCTCCCCCACGCTCCCAGCCTTCCAACTCCAACAACCATTCATTTGGTTAAAAGCTTATCTGTTAAAATTCAAATGCCCATTAAGATTTAAACCCATCAGTTATTTATACCTAAGTTACTTTTATCAGTGAACTCCTCTCAGACAATAGGGTAGGAGAATGGAGCTTGAAAAGATAAACTGGGGAAGCCTGGAAAACTAGGAAAGTTTGGGGGAGGTGGGTAGCAGATTTCAGAAAAGGAGGGCCAAAGTTTCAAATAGAAACTGCCTGCTTTGTAATGGTGCCTAGGGCCTGGGGATTAACAGGTATGCCATACAAGCCATATTCCTCCTGAGACTGCTAAAACCTACATTTCTGAATCAAGAGCTTAGAAGCCTGCACATATTGGTTCCTTATTCAGTCTAACCTAGTCCCTCCTAAGAAAATATCCTTCACTTGCATTTCCCTGGCCTCCACTTCCCAAGTTGGAGAACTATGGGAAGAGGGAAGAAGCAGACACCAAACAAGCTGTCAGCTGCTAGGGAGGGAAAAGACCTCCTCTTCAAACCCTCCTCTTCTCCCCCAGTACTGTCCTCTCTTCCCAGGCTACCCTTCACTGAAATGGGCAGCTCTGCTGAGCTCAGGAATCCCTGCCTCTAGAACATCCCTTCAGATGTTATTGATGCCACTGAAATTTGTAAGAAAATTCAAGAAGCCTTAAGTGAACAACCAAAACTAATACCTCAAGATAGAATCAGCATGCAGTAAAGAGCATCTAAAAAGCTATAAAACAAAATTCAGAAGAAGAATTGTTCCCATTAGGATCCCATTCATGAACACTCAGTTACTGGGGGAGGAAAAAAAAAGGACTTCATTATAAAGCTATCATGTAGAAGCAAACCTCTGACATCCACACACAAACATCTCCTTCAAGTTAGCATTTCACAAGATTTAGATGTACTCTTAGTTGGTGCTGAGAGATACAATTAATCTCTTGACTCCTGAAGTGTTTTCAAGTTATGAAGTTTAAAAAGATTGTAGTTTTTCACAATGAAATTTTGCATTTTGTGACATAAAAATTCTCAAGCATATAGATTTCTAATAAGCAGGAATAGGATCTTCCCTCCTCAGGTTGCCTTTTCACTACAGCTCTAAAATCCATTTACAGATAGTCCAAATCTCCATACTATAGATAGTATTAGAGACAAATTTAGAAATGCATATTAAGTGAAGGAATGATTGAGTCTACCATTTTATTAATATTAAATAGTAATAATAGTAATTATGAAATAATACTGACACTACTCCTGTGAAGTTTATCATCTATTACAAATACAAAATTCATAGTTCCATTTTATTAGGGGTTATCACTTACTACACTCTCAAGTGCAGCAATGGAACAGACAATACTTTGTTTATTCTGTGTACTGGAAAAACTCAATTTTCTATATATACATTTTATTTCTTAGTATGTACAATCAAAGAAATTAAGTCCATAGACAACAAAAATTTGTTCATATTAACAACAATCACAGTCATAACTTGCTTAAAATTAATTATTCTTTTCAGTTGTTTAATTGTGGTAAATAAAATATAATCTCTTAACACTATGATGTATGTTACACTTCAAAAAAAAGTTAAAAGATCAAGTAGCTATGACTTGGAAATGAAAACTCTCAATATCTGTATCTGAATTACTTTTGAAATAAATCAAGAAAATAACTCAAGTCTTAAAAGTATCATAAATTTTCATTTAGTCACAAAGTTCACAAAATATGATCGATATTAATATATTAAGAGGCACAGGTGAAAACAAATTTTAAGACTTATAAATATAATACTGTGTAAGATTAGATTTTTTCTAAATAAGAGTACTCACCCCTTGGAGCCCTTGGAATTGAATTGAAGGTCGAAAAGGAATTAAATTCTATTAAAAGAAACATAAGAAACAAACAGATCAAACTTGGTTACTGGACACATAACTAAACGTTTAAACTTTAAGTCTATGCATCTGATCAGTGCTATAGTCTGTGAAAACCTTTCCATTACATACTTAGGTTTATATGTCATTATATTAAGATGTCTTGATAAATGACACTGCACTATTATTGACAGTACAACGGAGGTATCTTTTGGCAGTGTAGCTAATCAGGTTTTTGAAAATGACTAACATGATTTGGCAAAAAATGATTAGTGTACTAATTCAATTTTACATTAAAAAAATATTCTTGCTTAGTTTCTTGATATATTTTTTTAAAGAGGTGGAGGAAAGCTAGAGATAATTAAAGGAAACTTGCAAAACCTTAACAGGATGCTAGTATAAAATTAAAACATTTGAGGATGAACTGTGGTTTCCATTTACTCACATTTTTGAAAAATTAAATTTATTTAAAACTAAAGGATAATTGCTTCACAGTATTGTGTTGGTTTCTGCCAGACATCAGCGTGAATCAGCCAGAGGTACACCTATGCCCCCTCCCTCTTGAACCTCTCTCCCAGCTCCCTCCCCATCCCACCCCTCTAGGCTGTTTGTTACAGAGCTCTGGTAAATTCCCAGTGTCTATCTTCCATATGGTAATGTGTTCACGTTACTCTGTCCATATATCCCACCCTCTCCTTCCTTCATTTTCTCACATTTTACCAGAGATGAGTGTTTAGTTGAGGGTCAAACAAGTAACCAGTTTCATCATAAGATTTTCATCAGGTGAATATAATTTCTAGAACAGTGTTTTATTATGAGCTTTGTCCTCTTCCTAACTTTTTATATTTTCTCATAGAGCTATGTATTTAAAAGAAAAGCTGTAATTGTAAATATCTACCATAGTCTCAGGTATAATTTCCTGTACCCAAAATCACCAGTATGGGACTGGTTCACTACTATGGGAATGCTCTCCCAAACTGGTAATAGATATTCATGGGGAAATCAGATTTGGATAACATTTTAATAGTAACACATCAGCTATTTTTCATACCCTCATATCCAAATTCAATGCAGAAAAACAAAAGCAGTGGTTTCTGGTCTCAACTCGATAGAAAAATACAGAGGCACTCATGTGCCCCTCCCTTGCCACTCCACATTAACCACTGCTATCAGTTATGTCCCAAAACTGCAGATTGAAGTTTACTGATCAGTGTCACAGTAAACTAGAGAGAAATAAGGAAAGGATAAGTACTTTAAAAGATAGATCATCTGAATATAAAATCAAGCAGTAGCACTAACCGTCCTATTATTATTTATAAAAATAGATAAACATCTTCTTGGAGAAAACATAATAGACACTATTACCATTGTTCTACCACCATAAAGATAATTTAACTTTAGACTTATTAGCAGGATCAAAGTACTACTGGTTGACCAAGTTTATTTCTTGGTGTGGGAGATAATTTTTTGTAGTGATTCATTCTAATTCATGGTCTTTTATGAAAATATAAAATACAGATTAATGCTAATTTGAATTTCCTTAGAGGGAGAAAGCCTCACCCAAACGTACATTCCACAGCTAATCCTCTACCAGAAGTAATGGCAGCTTGCCTGGGGAGGCTCCCTTCATGTGGGGAAGTAGGTGGTCCTCCAGTTTAAGCGACAGAGGTCCAGGTTCTAGATTTCAGAATACTTCAATCAGCCCCACCTCCTGCTCTCTCTTCAAATCCCAAACCCTAAACATCTCCTCTGAGGCTGAAGACACTTTCCTCCCTGACTCCTTGAAGGGAGGTTATCTTCAGCTCACCACTTGAATTTGAACTTCTCTATCAAGTTCATCAATTCTTCTTGGTCAAACAAATGCTAACTTTCCTCAGCTTTCAAACTGCTCACTTCTCCACTGGATATCACAGCTACCTTACACTTGGAGACGCCTGTCCTCCTAGCTCTCTGATCATGCCTTTTATTTCAAAAGCTAGGGCCCTCACTCACTTTCCTCTTGCTATATCTACTCTGTCCTGGAGGCTCACCCTGTCGGTTTGGTGATGACTCTGAATCTCTTCAGGATTCCTCAACTTGGCATTCCTCCAAAACTTGCAACTTAGCACTTGCCTAGGATATTTGCACTAGAAACTGTCAGACAGTAAAATTGGCAAACACTAAACCACCCCTATGGAGAAGGAAATGGCAGCCCACTCCAGTGTTCTTGCCTGGAGAATCCCAGGGACAGCAGAGCCTGGTGGGCTGCCGTCTAAGGGGTCACACAGAGCCGGACACGACTGAAGCGACTTAGCGCAGCAGCAAACTACCCCTAGGGCTTCCCTGGTGGCTCAGTGGTAAAGAATCTGCCTGCCAAGCTGTCCAGGAGATGCTGGTTGGGTCCCTGGGTCGGGAAGATCCCCTGGAGGAGAAGATGGCAACCCACTCCAGTATTCTTGCCTGTGAAATCCAATGGACAGAGGAGCCTGGTGGGCTACAGTCTGCGAGGTTGCAAGAGAACTGGACAGACTGAGCGACTAAACTACAACAAACTGCCGCTGCCCCTCACTAAACCGGCACCTCTTTCCTACTTTCCGGCCAGGGTGCTTCTTTGTGGTTCTCCAGACTCACAACCGTAAACTTAACCTAAGAGTCTCTTCTCCCTTCTCCTTCTCCTCTCACCACATTTACTTAGGCAATCACACACTACTAGAATCCCAGAATTCCAAATCCAGAGATAATCCAGTTGCTGCCCACCTACTTCCCGCTATATAACCACAATGGGCCATGTGTCCCATTAATAACTAAGCTGGGACCGTAATCTAGGAGTCAATCTTCCTGTTTTGCCATACTATTTTTTTCCTACTATCTTGGGCTCCACACACATCTGCTATGGCAGATCCAAAAGTTTGGGGGCTTGCTCCTGTATGCATAGAATTCACTTTTTAGTTGGAGAACATTTGAAAATAATTAAATATTAGGTTAAGTACTGCTGGGAGGTGCAGTAAGGATTCTCAAAAAGGAGAAAAATACGGGTTAGAAGAGATACTAGAAAAGAGAAAAGGCTCATGAAAAAGATGGATTTTTTTTTTTTTTTTTTAGCAATTCTGAAAAAGCAAACTCCAAGGAAAAGGAGTGCCCTAAGCAAAAAAGCAAGGAGACAGGAATGGGTGGTGTGTGGATGGAGGGCAGGTCTTTGGATGTGTGCAGTGTCCTTTCACATGTGAAACAGGACATAAAGGACGAGAACTGGACCTAGTGATCCCTGGCTAATCTCTTCTTGACCTCAAAATGTGTCTTCAGTTTTAACTTCTATCCACTACTGCATAAATAGGACAGTAATTTAAATTTTAAACCTCAGAATTTCAAAAGGTTTATCACCCTGTGAACTAGCCCTACCCTAATGCCCTCCATTACTCCTTTAGGGATGGCCTTTAAGTCTTGCCTTTGACAGGATAAACGATTGGAGGCTCTTCTGATTTTTGGAATAAGAAAGTGAGTTCCTAAAAGAAATTGCTTCAGGGAAAGCAGCTCTTTCAGTCATGTGTAAGAAAGATAGACAGGGATGAATCGCTAGGGAAAAGGATTAGATATCAGCTCCAGGGGATGTTTTATTTAGGAACACTCTGGTGATAAAGGCTTAGATTAGTATGACTTCATTTGGAGCAAACAGGAGATGGTGGAATGAGCAGACATTCCCGAGAAAGGATAAAATGTGCTGAAGGTCTGAATATCACACACACACACACACACACACACATGAAGTAAAGGTGGCTCAGGGCTCTCAGTCATCATTTGGGGCCAACCTGCCCCAGACTCTGGAGGAGGAAATGACACTCCAGTATTCTTGCCTGAAGAATCCCATGGACAGAGGAACCTGGAAGGCAGCAGTCCATGGGGTGGCAAAGAGTCAGACACAGCTAAGCAACTGAGCATGCATACACACGCATGCCCCAGACACCTTCAAATTAAGCTCAGTTTCTACTTTGAAAGTCCCTAGGCTGCTTCCAGGCCCCTATTACCCAGCACCTAAACAAAGGCCCTCCTCCCCTCCAGTCGGTTCAGTCGTCAGTTGTGTCCAACTCTTTGCGACCCCATGCACTGCAGCATGCCAGGCCTCCCTGTCCATCACCAACTCCCAGAGTTTACTCAAATCCATGTACAAGTTAGTGATGCCATCCAACCATCTCATCCTCTGTCGTCCCCCTCTCCTCCCGTCTTCAATCTTTTCCAGCATCAGGGTCTTTTCCAATGAGTCAGTTCTTCCCATCAGGTGGCCGAAGTGTTGGAGTTTCAGCTTCAGCATCAGTCCTTCCAATCAACATTCAGGACTGATTTCCTTTAGGATGGACTGGTTGGATCTCCTTGCAGTCCAAGGGACTCTCATGAGTCTTCTCCAACACCACAGTTCAAAAGCATCAATTCTTCCCTTCCTTCAATTCCTTCCAAATGCTCCTCATTCAAATAGCTAGCAGAAGCTTTCTCAGATACCACTTTGCAGTGGGTTCTATCAAAGCAAAACAAACTCCTCACACAGAAAGCAGATGCTCCAACTACAGGACAAACCAGTCTCATCTTTCATTTCCCAAATGTGGCTCAGCACTGTTAACATTTTTCAGTCTCTTTGTTTTGTAAACAATTTCCTCTCTATTTCTACTTCCTAACTGTTCCTTCAACCTGGCATAACTTCCCTAACACTACTTTGCCAATCCACACTAATCACTTAACATTCAAGTTTAAGATTAATTTCCTCAGCTAGGCCTTCCTTTGCCTGAATCAGGAATCAAAGACTCAGGTAAGTGTGAAAGAGACAGGATGTAAAGCAACAAGGAGTGGTGAATACCTGGGGGATGAAGGCCCAACTGAGAAAGGACTCACATTTTAAAATGTTAAACATTTCCTCACCAAACAAAATACTACTGCCACCATTTTACTCATGCTGAACTATGCCCACTTAAGCTATTGTTTCTCCAGATGCTTGTGTCTGTGGTACCACTACATTGGGGTGTATTTTTGCATAAGTTGTC